CTATAGGACTGATTTTTTTTTTTTTAGAAAACTAAACTTCGTATCAAGTAATTGGTACAGCACGGAAGACCACTATATACTTTCACATGAACCAAAGTATCTTTTCCACTCATAACAATTTCTGAACTACAAAGCTTTCAGACCAGAAAGACAACTTAAACAAATGCTTCCTACTGGCAAATGCCACATTGTAACTGGAAACACAATATAAACTCACAAAACCCCAAAACATACCACCAGAACTATTCAACATCAGTTTCAACAATTGCATACAGAATAGTTTTGGAAACTGTTGCCCAGTCATTCTTTCTTAACTTTTTCTATTAATAAAATGGACTAGTGAAATCATGCAAACATATCCCCATTGTTCTATACAACAGCTGGAAAAAAATGATTAATAATGAAACTGACTATCCACACACATGCATTTTTCCTGTTGTCTTCTTCCAAACAGGTTTTCCTCAATTTTCTGTTTTTCAAGATAGATGCAGAAGTTTTAAATGAGGAAATCTAAAGCCAAGATACTTTTTAAAATCATAAATACAAACAGTGTTGGTTCAAATTACATCCAGGAGCTATGTGAATTGCAAAGAGCTCCTCTCCAGCTCATATATGTTTGTTGCTCATGTCAGGAGCAGGAGAATGGAAAGGGAGAGGAGCTTTACCAAGCTACAGTGTTCATCCTTTGCTGGGAAGAAGGGAGAGGACGGAGGGGAAGGATGCAGTGAAAAACTCATTAGACAAGGCCTGGGCAGTGCCCTGCCTCTGTTCCTCACCACATTAATCAGTACAGACATGTAATATATCCTAGACCATTTACTTTCTCTGTAACATCACCAACCCACATTATATATAATCTTACTGTAAGATGTGAAAAAGAATGAGAACCACAACTCAAGAACTTGAGTAAACTTCTTCAGTGCTCAAAATAACTGTTTTGAAGAGATCACAACCAGAGCATATTAAAACGGAGTGTCAAATTTTGGATTTACAAACACAGCTTCAGGTAGCAATAGAGGGCTGCTGAGATCAGGAAGCATCAAGCAGCTCATTCCAGAACCGAGGGGGTGCAGAAGGCTTGGTTAGGCAGTCCAGTTTTGAATAGATGAACATCAGGTGGTGGTGTGGTTGCTCTGTATGCAATAAAATCCTCAATGAAAGAGAAGCTATTCTGATCAAAGCTTGTTCTACCCTCTGTACCTAGAAAATACATGCATTATTTCAGGTAGCAATGACCTAGTTAATTACTTTCAGCCTTTCAAAGCTGACAAAAGGTACAACAGTCAAACCATGAACAACCAATATTTTCACTAACAGCTAACGTGCTTAAGTACGACCAGTTCAGCCAACTGTATGACAGCATCCCTGGCTATATCACAGACAACCTGCAGTATGTGGCAGGAACCAGCTTCCTCAACATGAATATCAGTTGGTTCACAGAGACAGCATACTATTAGTTGAAATAATCACAGCAGTGTGCTGGATAGTATCCAGTTCTTTAAATCTTAGCCAAATTCAGCCAGTGCACTGCCACAGCTATATGTGAAACTCAGAAGTCCAAGTAAAACAAAATGTTCTATATAGACTTACGTGTGAAGGAAGAATCAGGTTCAGAATTTTAGGGGAACCCAAGAATTTCCAATAAAGTTTGCTTAATGTAGTATTTACGCCCAGATATATTCAGAAAGTACAAATGGGAAGTTCTGTAATGTATTTTTCCAGAAAATTGAATTTCTAAACTCTCCTATGTTTCTCGCACAGGATATTTTATCCTGTTCTGTAGCATGAAGTGAGAAAATTTCCTCAACTTAATCTATAACTGTACTCACTTTTCGGGGAATAAACTAGAGCACAACATTTTCAAACATCAAACTGAATGGAAAATGATCCAAAGATATCTGAAAAGATGACACTGCCATCATCTGTTACCCAGCTCCAATTATTTTGACCTCACTTAATAGATGGTTTTTTCCCTTTCTATCTAATATTACCCAAAATATAAAAAACTAAACATAATTTATTTTTCAAATAGTATCAGAATCATATTTTTACTTGTTTTTATTAAAGCATTCAACCTAAGGCAGTATAACTTAAGTTGCACTACCGCACTTTGATGTAGATGAAACTGCCATTGTAAGACATCACCGCCCTTCCACAAGTCTTTGTAATTTTCCTCCTCTAACCAGGAAACTGAGGGTAGTACAATTAACAGTTCAGACTAAACAGCACAGTCAAATTATTCACACACTATTAAGACATTTCAGGGATGTTGCTGTTATCAAGTTAGCAAATCATCTTCAAAAAACAGTGCTCAGTCTCCCTGTAGTTCAGCCTGTCAGTTAAATACTTGAAAAAGTTGCATCTAGATAACAGCACAACATCTCAGCTTTTAGAAGCATTACACTCATTTTACTAATATAATGTTTAAAAAACGTGGAAAACTATATTAGGCAGGTATAAGATTTTTAAACATGTAGTCCGAATCTTATTTTTTAAGTCTAAGGCATATTTATCCTTCCAGTGTGATTTAACTTGTCATGGCTTTGAAGTTTACTGGAAAAAATTAAACTGTAAAAATATTATAGCCACAAAGCATTTATATCCTGAAACTCTTAAGAGATGCATCTGAAAGTCAAACCGCTTCAAAAAATCCTAATACTGCATAAGTATCAAAGTCAGACTTATCAATAGCATTATTTTAAATTAGGTAAGTTTTATGCACTTAAGTATTCGCTCTTCTATTTTTAGCTATAAAATTTTTTTTAAAAAGATCAAACTGCAAGACTCTTACAATCAGTTACTCCTTTTATTCATCCTGAACACAGGCGGAAAGCTCTTTTTGAAAATTATTTAGGAACAAATGCTCATCAGACTGGATCAACTGCTCATCAGATGAAGCAAGCAATCTGCAACAAAACTTCAACTGGCTGCCTGCTTTTACTGTCATCTAACTTGTGCTTCATGCTCCATGAGACAGTAAAATCATTTCAGCTTGAAATACAATATGCTGATTCCACAATCAAGAGTATAAAGATTCCCCTCCACTCCCCAAGTACACCAAACATACTTATGTCTTTTCAGGGCTGACAATTCTAAAACTTTCTTATATTTGACATTTTGTTTCAGTGTGCCAGCTTACCTAAGATCTCTGGTTTGAGTCTGAATCTGCCAACATTGCATTCTAGAACGTGCTTGCAAGGTCTGCACAAGTTAATTCCTCAAATAATTGTTACTCATTTCATCCTATACACATACATAAAGCACCACTGAGTCAAAATTAGGCTCATTTTTTAAAGGTAAGAATTCTGCAATGTCTTTTCACACGTATGTGCAAAATAAAAGCAATATACTGAGAAACTTTGGTACTGTTACATTTATGTTCTAAATTGTATTCATACACCTGACAGGGTAACTACTAATAACAGCACTATGACTAGAAAGAACCCTAACTTGTCAAACTAACAGTAACTCCCGATGCATCAAGATCAACAAATAGAAGTCAGGAAGCAAAAACCCATCCTACAAACTTTGTATGGAAAGCCCTAATTGTATTTTTCACAAAGGAATCTCACATGGAATGTGTTACTTAAAATCATTAACAGCTTCTGGACCGATCAAAGAAACAGATCATCCAATCTGAACTGAGGAGGGTGCATCATCTAAGCATGGGGAAAAGAAAGGAATTTTAAGCGAGTCATCCAATTTTACTTTATTTTCAAGGTCATATCTGATTAATACAAGAATCAACAATTATACTTCACATACTTTAATCAATCCTCTCACCTAAAACATGTTGCTAGAGAAACCAGATGCTGCAGTGATAAACTGCCAACTAGATAAAATCATTCGAAATTACAGAGATATCTTGAAAGTACAAGAAGGCATATAAGTACGTTGACTATTCTTACACATTTTCCGGTCTTTCACAACGACAAATATCCACAATAGCAACTTCTGCTTCCATAGCTACCTGGCAAAGTAGGTCATGATCCTCCCATTTTAAATATTTGCCTTGCCACTATTTGATAGATGCTCTGAAAACACAAAACACACCTATTATATACAGTTTTGAATTGCACTATATGCATCAGTTGTAGTTCTAAAGCAAAACCAATTCCTCCTTTTCAGAACGCAAAAATCATTTGAGGCATACAACCTTTTCAGACTTGGATGAAAAATCAATTAAGAAATCTCAAACACAAAACTACTTGTACAATTTAATATACAGGGAGTAAAAAAAAAAAGTAGCACCCCACAATTAAAATGAAATAATTTAAAGCTTTTTTCAACATTTTGCATATTGTCAGTTTCATTATAGCTAGAAAATTCGAAACCACAAACCAAAGCACTTGTTATTTAAGGACAAAGTACTTGTTATTTAATATAACTCAGGTTATATTTAACTGAACAGTTTGCTGGTGTTAAGAGTACTCATCAAGTACAGTTAGAAAAAAAAAAGAGTACCTTGTGAAAGGACATCCGCTTCATTTCTTAAATATGATCTGAGCATTCCTTCTGCACTTTCCATCTTGGAATACGTTTTATTAATTCTATTCTATCCCTCCTCTCCAAAATAAAAAAGAAATTAAACATATGTCAGACTAAAGCATCATGAGTTTTCATTAAACAATAAGCTAAAAAAGAATACGAGGGTCGCTCTTCCTGCTTGACTCCTCCTCACAAGCCTTTTTATAGACAAAAATTGCATCTTTAAATTGATGGCAACTCAATCCACATTTCAATTAAGAAGAAAATTAATTTTTCATAACATAACCAAAATACTGTTATGCTTTTTCTTTTTTTTCTTTTCTTTTTTTCTTTTTTTCTTTTTTTTCTGTAAAGACAACTTGCGTTTGCCCTCCTCAACACTAAGGCATACAATTTGGCTACTTGTTAAAATATTTTCCCTAGAAAGTGAATTACTACTTTCAGTTTTTAGGGAGGGAGAATAGAAGAAGGCATGCTAGCTTGGCTCTTTTAACTGCAGAACCTAGTCTTCAAAAGATGTAAATACTACTTACATGTACCAAGAAAATCCATATATAACAATGTTACTATCCCATGTATTTTTATTAAAGACTCATAAGATACATACTAATTTGGTCATATCAAGTAACCAAAATACATACTTTAACAGAAACCTACAACTCAGATAACAAATTTATCCATATCCATTTTTTCTGACTCTCTGACGCTGAATTTCCTGATGCAAGTCTTCAACAGCAACATCAACTTAGACTGTTCTTCTGATGGATTTCCACATCGCTTTCCCATTGTGAACCAAATGGGTATGCTAATCTGATCAAAAAATAATCCATGATCTTGTGGGCAGCAGAATCACAGAACTGTCTGCAAAGTTGATGCCATGGCTTCACAATACATCGCGGCTGAATTAATGGCTTATTGCCACAGAAAACGTGAATCAATGGCTTACTGTATCATTTGCTTTCCCTCTATGCCACTCCATCTCGCTAAAAGGTAAGCCAATTCAACTTGCTAAGTTGGCAAAAAGTCACCAAAACCCTTAAAAAAAAAAAGTGGAGGGTTTTTTTTTTTTTTTTTTTGAAGAGGAGGAGACTAGCCTGATTTAAGTAACAGCCAGCTTACTCTGTGTTCAGACAAGCTGGATCCAGAGGTCAGGGTAAAACAGAAGAGATTAGAATCAGATTCAGCATCAGTAAAATGTTGCATTTTCTTTGTGAAAACATACCTTCATTAGTAGCAAGCTGCATAGGCCAGAAGCAGCAGCAAGGCAAAGGGGAGACAATATTGTCAGTATTGCTAAGGTTTTAATAACAGAAACAAAACAAATAAACCCTCCCACACCGTATATAATATATTCCATGATTGGGACAGCTTTTTATTAAAAATCAGTAACTAATAACTTCTATTTTTCACTGAGGAAAAGACATTTAAAGTCAATCAATATCCTTCCTCCAAAAAGAGAGAGTTTAACAACTGCAGTGCTTTCATCACTTATTTGCCTACTTCAAACTGTTCTTTAAAGACACGGACCTTTTTTTCCCTTGCCAAAACAATGCATTTTTATTCACAAAAAAACTAGCACTGGCCACCTATAAAATTCAACTGGAGACAAGACACTGCAGTTTTATAGCTCTGCAACCAAAAGAGCTAATGCCAATCTTCAGCCTTGCATGGTCTACCTTGCCATAATACCATAAAAACTTCTGCATCCTATTTCCACTTTGACTTTTACAGGAGAATAATCAGAGGTAAACACTGTTCACAGATTCAGACTTTCAAGTTAGAATCATGAAGCCCAACTCAGGTTTGGTAGAGTTTAGAAATTCCCATACAATATCTAATGATTATGGCTACACTTCCTTTGTATCCAGCCTGACTCTTGAAGTAGTGTATCTATGTTGCATTCTAAATTCTTAAAACTTTGCTTACATGCACTGGTTCACATGCCAGCTGTAACTTCCTCACTAACACTATTTAACATTTCCAGCTTTAGCACAATCTATTTGTGCCAGGCTCAAATTCAGCTTGCCTATACTCTTTCCATACTTCATCTAGTTTTTTGCATTACATTAAATTAGCTAAAGCTAATAAGTAATCCCATGACTGGACTATCCCTATCTAAAGGGGCAATCACTAAAAAGATCAGCAAGTTAAGATAAAAGTCTTACTGAAAAAAAGTTCTGCTAATGCAAACTCAGGTTGATTCATGTATATGCAACAGGTTTAGAGGTAGCTCTGTTTAACTAAGAGTTATTTAAAAATTAACATATCTGTGCACTTCATTTGTGTTGCAGTAACTATCCAAATAGAGAACGTGAGAATGACCATATTAGGGCATATCAGTTCCTCTGGCCCAGAATCTTTTCTCTGACAATTTCTAACAGGTGATGCCCAAGAAAGAATTTAAGAAGAAAACAAACATACAGCAGTATTTTCTCAAAATACTCTCCCAGAACACCAGAATACAGGCAAAAAGAGTTACCCGAAATTGAAGAGGACGCATGGAACATTTCCAACAGAAGAATAAATATTACAGATAAAAATAATATCTTAAACATATAAGCAAATATGCAAATGCAGTGTATCCTTCATAGTAATGACTTATACCACACAATAAAAATCAATACCTAAAGAAAGGAAGAAGTATAAATTACCAGCACATTTAAAACGATTCATCTACGGAACAGGAAACCTTCACCTAAATAATTTTAAAATGTCTCACTTAAATCATAATTAAAACAGTCAATTCTGACTATCAGTTAGAATTCCATGTGGAGGAAGATCTACACCAATAATTAAATAATACATACATAAGCAGAACTCACTGATTACTAGACTGCCTCCCTATCTTATGGCAGAGCCAGTCTACAGAATAAACAAATTAAGCTCCAGGTAACACATCTATATATTTCCGAGACTGACAATCCTCAGACTACTGCTTTTTACACTTATGTGCAATATGTTGTATTACGTGTGCCTCTTATTCTGAAACAGATTGCAGGACCAGGAGATTCAGAGACACACAAGGTCATAAAATGTTTATGAACAGAGTTTGATCAAGTTAATACAATATATACAAAATGTTTCAGATATTATTTCCATGAAATACAGTCTGAAGCCTGCAATAATTTTGAGACACCACTCCAACAAAGGCCATGTTTTTCATGGCATGATACGTGGAGAAAAAAAATCACATTTCCCCCCTCCCCAGAATACTTACTCTTCATTTTCAAAATACATACCAAGAAGAAACATTAAAAGGCACGTTATATCACATGGGCTCACAGCAAACTAATAACAACTTCAGATTCATAAGATAACAACTTGAAAACCCTATGGTGTTGTGGTTTGGGTTAGGACAGACTAAATGTATGCATTAATTACTACACAGTAATTGGATGCATATGGAATACAGCTATTTACTGCCCTTATGAAAGAGTGATGATTACTGCAAAGAACATCACAAAGTTACAGAAAGGCAGCTGTCTTACACTTCCCCTTTCCTCGCAGACAGGAGCAGGGTGCTGAGCGTGCTGGCTCTGGCCATGCAAGCTTGGTCCCTAGCATTCCTGGAGGTCCTCCACGGCCAAGTGACCCTGAGGGCAGAGTTGTGCTGTTCCCCTTTGGGCAGGGGTGGACGCAGTTTGTGCAGGGGAGAGCATCTTCCAGACTGTTTGATCTTTACTGGTTGGCGGACCGCTCTGAGATGTTGCTTGCTTTTGGCGTAGTGAGTTGCTGGGCAAACATTTGTGAGCAAGTTTAGTTCTGCGACTGTTACCCTTTATTTTTCGTAATACCTATATATTTGTGCTTTAGCTAAAAAACAGTCTTCCCTAATTGCTACATAGCAACGTACTATTAAACTGAGGGCATCCAACATCAGCCTAACTACTCAAGTGATGTCAGCTCAGGAGGCCAATACTCATTCCACCCCTTGCTCTACATCTCCATTACACTCACATATCTAATGATATGTAGTGGGAGGTTAATTGCATCATAAATAACACCCTCTGCAACAGTCTTCAGATCATTACATACAGAACTATAAAAAAGTGGTTACAATTACAAGCGTTCCCAACAGCACAACAATGAGATGAGCCAGGAGGTGGAACAAGGCGTTTGAGCTCCAACCGGAGAATAAAGCATACCACTGCAAGCAGTGTTAAATACATTCCTGTGCTAACATAACACTTTGATCTCTACCTCTTGGCTAGTATCTAGGCTCTCTAATAGTTTTGCAATTTGTCTCTAATTCTGCTTAGTTTTGGAGGGGGCTATTTAGCTGTATGTATATATATGTATATATATATAGGCTAATCTCACAGTTGTGAACAACACGTCCAAAGAAAATATTCACTGGACAGTACTCATCTGCCAGTGTGATTACTGGGGTACGATAGGTGCATTTACAATTACAGGCACAGCAGCGTGGCTTTTACCTTCTCACACAGGCGGGAATGAGCATGTTCCGTCCGCCCACTCTGCTGGTAGGTCTACAGATTTTACACAAAGACTCCTGTTCCAATTAGTGGCTACAAACTGTTTTTCTCTAAAAGATCAGATATCTTGAGTTCCACTACTTGCACAAGAGTGAGCCACAGGGGGAGGATCCTGTTTGTATATCCATTTCTATTCTGGTTTACTAATATCATCTTACTATTGCACCTATCACTTTTTAAACTTTCACGTACACTTGTTTAACCTCTCAGCTTTTAACTACCTAAGTACATGTAGTAATCAGTTGGATTCCCTTCTGCTTCAAACATTTTACCTTCTTGACACTCCATCTTAGACTTCTTTTGTTGTACTTGCTTACAAGAACATTACTGAAACCAACAATCTGATAGCTAGGTTTGGTTGTTCCTTTTAAAGCTATTGCTCTTCAAAGGATCATCCTGCAAAACAAAATAAAAAGACCTGTCAAAGCCACCAGGCTGTTACAGTTTTTTTTTTTTTTTTAAACTGTGATTGCTGAAACTGGTTCATTTAAGATTACTTAAGCTTACACCTCTCTGCTACTTCAGTTTAAACTCTTTATTTACTTTTATTTTGTTATGATCAGAGATTTCGCTACATCTTGGGACATTTTCCAGCCTTTTCTGGTTTCTTAAAATCATAATTAAACGTGTTGCTTCTACTTTTCTTGAGAACTGGGAATAATATGGGCTATCTAGGCCACTTCACGTTCATCCGTCCATTGTTTTATTTCATTTTGGAAATTAAAGGATCAAGTCTGCCAATGGCTTTCAGGCGTACCACATCTCCACCAATTTTGTTTTTTGATACCTACTATCATGTTGTTAGTAGTGGCATGGACTACTGGATGGACTACATGGACTACTTCAGCCAGTCCAGAGTTATATCTGCTACGGGTAGACAGATATGCCCCTATCTCACTACAACTGCACAAAAGTCCAAAGCAGCCTATTTGCCATGCATTGCCAAATTGGCAGTTTAAACATCCTTTGTGTTTTGATAACTTGGCTGTTTAGCTTTTTTCATTAATGCACAAGTTTCGCAGTCCTTTGTTAATAGTATAATGGCATCCCCAGAAAGTCCATGCCTCCTCAGTCTCTTGTCCGGTGACAGATATCATCTCTTCCTAGATGCCTGATGCTTTACGCACTACAAATAGTTCTCCTTTACATTCCCAGTCTAGGTCTTGGTTGATTGTGGTGATCTGAGATACTTCGTCCACTTGACAGTTATTGATTTGTTTGTCAGTATCCCTTTCCTTTGGGTCATGGGCATGGACACGTTGCACCTGCATGTCAGGTTTTTCCAAATCCCAAGCAGCATTTTTTTCCCCCCCACAAGTTAGCCATCCTCATGTCTGTCAAAGGCAGTTTTCATTGTGTGAACCAGTCCCAGAGGGTGTTGGTCACTATCCAAGAATCAGTACATAGGTATAACCTGGGCCATTTCCTCTGCAATGCTACATCGATGGCCAGTCTTTTGCCTTTGGACTCGACTGTCCTTCACATTCATGCACCTTTATCCCGTGCTGGATGGGACTCCAAACTGCAGCCTTCCATCTATTCTAACTGCCACTAACTTCACAAGACCCATCACTAAACAGGGTATACTGCCAGTCTTCTTCAGGTAGCTTGTCATATTCTAGGGTTAACTGTGTGACAATATTTTGGGTGAGGTTCCTCCCCAGGTCATAGGCAGAACATGTGGGTAGGGGCCCAAGGTAGGCTTCTCAGGGGCAATTAAGGCCTATCAGTAGACTCAGGGT